AGTGCCACTCTAGTGTTTAGATTTAGTTAGGCAAACTCAGTCTGCTGAGGAAGCTCGTGATAGAGCTGAAAGCCCCAGAACTGCCACTAATCCACTTTGTGGTGAGATTGTTTTGACAACTGTTGTTTCCAAGATCCAAGGTGTTTTTCGTCTAAGATGGAAAAGACTGTTGTGTTTTATGTTGGATTATGAGGGTTTGTTGGATGGTGATTTGACACAAAGTTAGCTGTGTTCTCCTTTGATTTTTGTGGGCGTTTCCTCTTTGCCAAGAAGCAAGATTTCCAGGCTTCTCAGGATGATTCATTTTTCACGGTTGGCACACTGAACATAACAGCGTCAGACTCAGTCTGCCCACCAGGAATGAGGAAAAATAACCCATCAAATCCCTAAACACTGCCAGTACTTTTGGACGAGTTCCTCAACCTCAAGAACAGGACCTGCAGCACGGCACTTCACCACCAGGCTGCACGTCTTCGTAGAGGTAAGAGGGGGGGCCCAGCCAGACTGGGTGTAAACATGGTTATAGTCTTCAAGTACACTGCAAAATAAAGCAGAGACATTAAGCAACAAATATGAAGCAATCAAAACCACGAAACCACAAAGGAAACAAAAATGAAAATGACTATGGTCTTGAAATGACTTAAACGTTACATTGTTTCTTCAAAAAAGCCATAGACAGTACTAAAGTTTTAAATATATAAGTCTTAAATATTTTCTTTTGTCTGCTGTAGGCACTATTGTTAAACAGTTTTTTGTGTCATCGTGGGCAAGTGAAGATCTTAGCAAAAACTTAAATGTTTCAAAATGAATTAACCCATATATTTTCTGAACTGATATTAAATTGCAATCTATGAGGAATTATAAAGCTCTTAACTTGGTGAACCCTGAAGAAGCCTTGTAAAGGCCCAGTGCACAAGAGGAAACAGACACCATCAACCACAACAATCAAGTGCTACAGAAATAGGTCTTTGCATTTGTGTGAATCTATATTCACAGATGTGCATCAAACCCGCACTAAATAGGAAGATTCACAGCAAAGCTTCTTGTGCAGGACAGAAATCATCCACTCAAACTAGGCGGGTTAAAGACAAAAAAAGAACAGGTCAGAGTAGGTTGAAGCAGTTAAAAAGTAAAAGATAAGAAAAGAGACAAGAGGCAGATCGAGTTTTAAAAATAATCGTGGTTTATAAAACCCAGATATGACAGGATCACCAAAGTGTATACAGAAATACAAATACCATCAGGAAAACCATCATAGAACAGTGTTATACACTCGACATGTACAAACTACTCTGTAAAAGGGACTCGGGGTGGATGGTTCAGAATGTTAAGACATTTTCCTTTCTTTATGTCTCTTAAAATCACATTTAGCCACAATGTATTTTCTTCTATTATCTTTTTTCTGTATCTTATTAAAGTGGAACATCCATCTACCAAACTACAGGTACTATCACGTTCAGCTAGATTAGAGAGAGGGTACGAACAACATCGAGAGAGCGGGGGAGAGAGGAGAGGGGGAGGATGCACACACATCAAGCACTTTAACATCATGGGGGTTACAGCAAGCAGTGGAAACAAAAATCAGCTATGGTTTTCACCCATGAGCAAAATGGGATGTCAGGGCTTATCGCTATCATCATCTCATTGAACACGAACTGTACAAAATAACCCTGTTTTTGTTTTTGTCAGCGGCTTCCACATACCGAACATCTGAGAACAGACTCTGGTCACTAGAACAGGTTTTCTCACAGAGAAGCATCTCAAAATGCTTCCAGCGAGCAAATAGAAGATCCTAGATCTGTTTTTAAGATAGGCAGATCTGGGATCAGTTTAACAGTATCTTCTTATGGTGTGGGTCCTCTCTGGACTGGGGTCTGTTCCTGCGCCCAACTACAGTATGTCAAAGTGCTTCTGTCTGCAGGGCAGTTTACAACAACAGATGTAACGTCCACAATATTTTCATGCACATTCACAAATGTACAAACAGGATAACAGCTTCAGGACACAGGAATCTGCCCCCTCGTCCCCAACTCCTCCATGAGCCCTGGATGTAAAACCCCCCCCCTCCCCTTGGAGATGACGTAGCCTTGAAATATGAAGGAATCACCTACAAGATACAACCAATCACATTCTCCGTTTTTTTTCCTATGTTGATATAAACACATTTTCAACAGATTTACACATGAAAGAGTGCAGGATTGTGAACGGTCGACAAAAAGCTCCTCATCACCTAGAAAATACTGCTTGTCTTGGAGCAAAAATGGCAACGTATGAAATCATTCATTGTTACAGTGGCTACAATGATAATATACACATCATGTCAAATAAATTAAGATCTATGTACAATGTAAAATAAAAGCAGCATGCAGGCAAGAAACCAGAGCCTTTTTACAAAACTATCTGCTGTAGTGTTGTGCTCTCTGACACAAGAGAGAGAGGCGATGTGTGCGTGTGTGTCATGTTTTATGTCTGTATACAGTTATGACATGTGTCCGGTGTATTGAAATAGACAGGGAAGCTACCCATCTTCTAAACTTGAACAGATACAACATTTTAGTCTCTAGCTTTCCGGTTCACATTTAGCTCATTACACACAGACAAACTTTTCAGTCTTTTAGCCGCTACAGGAAAAAAACAAAACAAAAAACACACAAATAGAAGTAGCAGAAACAGGACTTTTCTGTAACACATTTGTCTTGCAGCTCTCTGGGCTCTGTCTCATGACTGGCTGATGGAGATTCAGTGTAGCCTCAGGGAGGAAGAGCAGAGCAGGAAGAGAAAGTGAAACACACACACACACACCAGCGTTAAAGTTAGCATTGTTTTGCTGAAATCCAGGGGGGCCATTTAAGAGCAGCAGCAACACACTTTAAATTTTTAACAGACAGCTCTTCAAGTCTGAGCTGGTGGTTTGAGAATAAGACGGAAGGGCAAACATTGGATGTCATGCACAGCACATTTTTCTGGTTGTTACTAACTTTCCTTATCTAAAATGAGTGGATTACATTAGAACAAATTCACACTTTAAATCATTAAAAAAAGTGCTAAAATTACTGAGGCATTATTGAACATTAGAGTCAAACAAACATGGATCTGGTGACGGATGAATGTGGTGAAACCTGACTCTCAATGACCTCATGCAGTGCTGCCAGATCTGACGGCCACCAACTACCCTTATCATCATAAAAGCAGTTTTTATATTTCAGATGTTGAAAGCCTGACAGTTCATTGGGGGAAATCTGCCTAAATGTTACAAAAAGTAGCTCAAATCACCACGAAGGGCCCCAAACTATTTTTACCTGCACAGTTACTTAAAAAGGAGATCACTTTGGTGGAAAACCGTCCAATCTGGCAACACTGATCTTTTGTCAGAGACAACATCTAGTAGTGCCCCACAATGCACCTGTACTGCCGGTGGTTCTCAAACATTTTCTTTCGCGCATCAGAACACACTTGTTTGATTATTGGACCTTCAGATTCATTCAGTTTCAAAAGCGCTCCGTGTTTCACCCCTTGTTCCCGCTCCCCGTTTGAGAACCACCGACATATACACACAGGACTTTGACTCTCATCATTCTAGTATACACAAACAGTGACAGTAATACTAGTAACTCTATTCATATTACTGGGATTTCCAACAAGACAGAACCTACCTGCTAAAACAGCCCAATAAAACATGTACTTTTGTGAAATAGAAGAAAAACACTCCAATCTTTTAAATCAGCCTTTGGCTCTGTTACCTTTGACTCTCTCAGGCAGGTTGAATGTACAAAGCTACTCTACACACAGACACATTCATAAAAACAAGCTTTGGTAGTTGATGCAAAGAATAGCAATGCACATACAACAGACTGGCTAGCAGGGCACTTTAAGATGACATGACACGATACATGTGATGTTTCACAAGTCCTTTTTGCACTAATTGGAGGTTGGGGATCTAATCGAGGTCTAACAATGAGCTTATTAAAAACATGGCACAAGTCTAACCAAGAAAAACATTCCAAACATTATAAAATACATTAACAATCATCGTGTGGATGCTTTAACTAGTCTCACTAGTATAAACAACACATGTAGAAGTACTGAACAACTACAATAGAGTAATAACGCACATCAAAGTATATTAAATATATTACAAAGCAACTTCACAGACTAGAAATGTTTGAATTAAAACATCCCTTTTGTGTACAAGTAGGTTTTTTCATGTTTTGTGTATTAAATGCACTTTTCCTGCAAGTGCCTCCAGGGTTGTGATTGTACACTGACGTTATTACAACTCAACAAAAAAAGAGAAGAAATTAAAAAGATGGAGTATAAAAAGAATCAACAAGTTGAAACCAGTTGATTTGTTTTGATATGCTGTGATGTGTGTAGAGTCCTTCCTCAGATTTCTATTGACTGATAGTTAGTCTTTTGATTGGCTTTATCTTCTCCCTGTTGATCCTAGTGTAGTTAAAAAGGCATGTAAACAGTCGTGTGTAGCCTATCTATGCAGCTTCTCCTACATAAAACCAGAAAAAACAAAGGAAAATCTAAAGAAGCAGAAATATCTCAAAGTAAACAACACATACTAAAAAAGTCCTTAAAGAAGAAGAGGATATCCCAGGGCAGTATGGTCTGTGTTTCCAGTTATGTGCAGGTTTCCCATGACATCTGTCCATCTGTCTGTCTCTGTGACATTAGCTCTCTCCTCAACTGTAGCAATATTACACTATGTTTGTGCTTCAGCAGGTTTATCTGTCTGTGTGTGTGTTTCTACATTACAGTGTGTGTGTTTCTATACTTATAAAGACCAGATATACTCACAAGGAAGTAAAGATGAGGTAAATTCTCCAAAGTGAGGGCAGACTGACAGTCCTCGCGGATTTAAAGGTTTACACTGAGGGTTAGGGTTACTACACAGAAAGAACTACAGGGCAGACGGGTTGAGGTTGGACGTTAGAGAATGAGGTCCATATAAGTATAGTATGTCTATGTGTGAATGTGTGAGTGTGTGTTTGTGTGTGTGTGTTAGTTTGTGTGTGTGTGTGTGTGTGTGTGTGTGTTTGTGTTTGTGTGTGTGTGTGTACGTGCTGATGTTGTGCACTCAGCTGAAGGCCTCATCATCCGTGTCTTCAATTAGCACCTTTGTGTCCTTTTTCGATCTAGAAAAAAAGGATTTAGACAAAGTGATATATTATCTGGCAACATTTTTCTTATGATTTTAACAGTTTCACTAAATCATTAATATTTTCATCTTGAACAACTTTTTAACTTTTGTGCTTCCTGAAAAAGAAATCAGCAAACAATTTCAATTGTTTGTTCACGTAATTCAATTTTCTAGCTTCTTTAGTTTTATTTTCTAATATTTTTTAAGTCAGACACTGAGTGCCTGTCTCCATTTTGATAAATGGATATATCATAATCCAGGGTTTAAGTCTAATATATTGTAATTTATACAAATCCAAAAGTACTGATAGTTATTTGGCATTTTGTATGTAGAGTTCAAATAGAAAGTATGAGTTAATATAGTAGCGCCTTTTTCTGATGTCAAATTTCTTCCAGATCATTGTTTTGTTAATATTATACAATTTATTTTTGTCTACAGTTGTTTGTTTTTTGTTTCGACTTCAGTCTTTTTAAATACAAACTAAAATAGAAATGTGTGAGTCTCTGTGTTTTTCCTTACTGAGAGGAGGACAGTAGGGGGCGTCGGAGCGACAGGCTGTAGGACCTCTTCCAGGTCTTTTTGCCCGAGCGGTTCCGGACACCATCCTCCTGGTCCATCATCTGCTCCAGCAGCGTCTGGTCGTCAGCATTGAGTGGCGCCACCGAAATATCCCTCACCGCACGGAACTCACCACAGTTATTCAGGTGCTCGTTCTCCAGACGGAAGAAGTTCCACACAAAACGTCTGCGGGGAGGAAGGAGAAGAGGGGAAACAAGGGGGGGATTTGTATTAGAAGTCACTGTTGGTGCTTTTGGGATTGTTTTGCTTGAAGCAACAGCAGTTTAATGTCTTGAGAAATATATCTTATCATCTGTTAACATCTTGATAGCAAGTTATTTTTGAATGTCAGTATGTGTGGTACAAAAAGTAAGCATGAGACCCACCTGAAGACCTCGAGAGGAGCCAGCACAGTGGCTATGATGTCGCCCACAGAGTGGATCTTGGTCATTGTGGTCAGAGAAATCTGAATCGTCCAGGCAAAACGCAGGATCACATCTTCTATTATGGCACAGTAGTAGTAGGCCTGAAAGAGGAGATGGGATTAGGTATCTCTGTGTGTGTGTGTGTGTGTATGTGTGTGTATGTGAGTGAGAGAGAGAGAGAGATGCATGGGACTTCTATCAGACTCTACCTTGTGGGGGTAAACTATTTCTTCTCTGAGGAAGGTGTTTTCTCCAGCTCCGCGGTCAAACAGACCCCAGTCCATACGCAGATCCCAGATCAGTGTGTACAGGGAGCTGATGGTCGAGAAGACTATCAGCAGGTAGAAGAACATGTCGGCGTCTGTATGTCCTTGTTCTGAAATAAACACACAAACACAACTGATGTCAGATGACAGCCATGCATTCAATCATTTTCTCTGAGTTAGTTTATTAGACCTGACATCAGTACAACTTTTCCATTAATACTTTGACCACTAGAGGGAGTCCTCCTGTCAAGAATACACTAGCAGTGGCTCATTTAATGTCTTGTGTACAACTATTACATTAAGAGTTGAATTCCCACAAATTAAAACATTTTCTATCAAACACAAGACGACAACATTAAATTACACACTATGTTGTATCTTATTCACTTATTGAGCAAGTAGCTGCACTGGGAAGTAGAGCTTTAGGGGCTAAACTAAAGCAATAAAACTTGGAACAGTAGTTTCATTTGTTTGACATTATGAAGGGAATCTATATTGGAGGAGAAGCTACTACTATGGTTACATACAGACACTGAAATAAAATGTTCAGTGCAGAAGCTGTGCAGTTCTGTCATGTTGATCCAACCTAATTTCTGTGTTCCAATAAAAAGACATTTGTTTGTGTGTTCATCATTCAGAGGTATTGAGAACATTAGTGTACTAAACTGTGTGCTTTTCATACTAAATGCGCATGTATGTGTTGTTGTTTTTTTTATTAACTGGTTATGTCAGAAAAATGCCAATCAAGTGTGATGGGCATTTTTCAGAGTCTTCGGTAATTGGTCTGGTTTTGACATCATTAGACTGTTCAGTGTAACACCCTGTTTGCCACACCTCATCATAAGCAGACTTAATCATTTGATGACATAACATTTCAGTAGCAGATCATGATTAGTGCACGTTGGCTGTAATGATAAAAATAATTATTTGTTGACCTGCCCTCAGCTGATGAGTATTCAACAAGCTTTAAGTTAGTTTACATTTGTTTAATATACTGCATTATGCCAAAGTGTCTCATCATTCGTGCTCAGCAGCGCCTGTGTGTCTATGCAGGATCACTGTGGACATGATTTGCTTGTTCCTCACGCAATATAAATCACCACCCAGTGGCTTAACACAGTGAGTCAGACAGACACGGACAGAAGCCACCAGACAGAGACTGGCCTCGCTCCCATTTGTCATAGTCACTGATTCTTCCTGCTATCAGCCAACGAGACGCCGGGGAGCAGAGCGGGGGACATTTCTAAGAGAGAATTACTGCTGCTGCTCTGTTAACTGCTGCATCCAATGTGCTGTTTGCTTCTTCAGCTGAGCGATGGGATGGAAGTAGTCCCTGCGGCCACACTGAGATTTCCCAGCTGGAGATTAAACTTAGTCCTGGACAATAGACTTTTCACTGGAGAATATCCACTGATGTGATTTCCTCAGCGTGTAAAGTGTTGCAGTATTTAACCCTTCAGTTTCTGTGAAGGCTGATGTTTTTTTCGCCAGGCTGGTTAACCACTGGGCCATTAAAAGGTTAAGCATACACATTGACTGGATGCTCAGTAAAGGCCAACGCTGGTCACTGGCTCCTGTCACACACACTAAATCGCTAGTAGTCTGTCTCACACACATACACACAGTTGCTATTGTTTTCCAGAGGCACCCAAAAGGTTAAATGTTATTAAAGACAGAGCACTTCCACAGGTTCATTTTATGCAGCAGGCCCACTTCCCACAAGAACAATCATTCCCTGCAATTAGAGGCATTTCTCATCTGTTTTTGAGGCAACCAAATCCATCAACAAGATAATTAACAATCCTGCACCTGGAGACCACTCAGCCAGACTGTACATTACAAAGTACATTTATACATGTACATACTCAGGAACTTAGGTAAAGTTTTGTGGTAATTGTACTCTACTTGATTATTGCCATTTTCTGATATTTAATATTCTTCACTACATTTTAGATGAACAAGGGTGTAGGTTAGCATATGGATGGTAGGGATATGCTTTTTAATTACTTTTTATGCCTTAGTATAATTTGATGTTTTATTATGACATTTTTATGCCTTACTATACTATGATGTTTTTATGATTTTTTATGCCTTAGTATACTATGATGTTTTTATGATTTTTTATGCTTTACAATACTATGGCTTTTTTTTATGATGTTTTTATGACTTTTTATGCCTTACTATACTACAATGTTTTTATGATTTTTCACGCCTTAGTATACTATGATGTTTTTATGATTTTTTTTATGCCTTAAAATACTATGAAATTTTTATGACTTTTTATGCCTTACTATACTATGATATTTTTATGACTTTTTTTGCCTTACTATACTATGATGTTTTTATGACTTTTTATGCCTTACTATACAATGTTTTTATGCCTTACTATACTATGACATTTTTATGACTTTCAATGCCTTACTATACTATGATATTTTTATGACTTTTTGTGCCTTACTATACTATGACTTTTTATGATTTTTTATGCCTTACTATACTATGATGTTTTTATGATTTTTTATGCCTTATTATACTATGATGTTTTTATGACTTTTTATGGCTTACTATACTATGATGTTTTTATGACTTTTTATGCCTTGCAATACTATGACATTTTTATGACTTTTTATGCCTTACTATACTATGACATTTTTATGACTTTTTATGCCTTACTATACTATGACTTTTTATGCCTTACTATACTATGACATTTTTATGACTTTTTAT